CAACTACCTTAGTCATCAGTTCTCCCACTGGAAACTCCTGAGACAGGAACTCGATGGGCTAGCATATATTTTCAAGCCTGGTCATATATATGTATATCATAAATTATTTTCAAGCTACACTAGGTCATCTGGGACAAGTACACAGATGTCCAAACATCTGTGACCAAATGGACTGGGAATTTCCTTTAGCTGTTAGCTATTCCTTACTTTGTTTCCTTTAGCTATTAAGCTATTCCTTGGCTGTTGTCTACTTTCTGACACTTTAAACTCTTGGGTTCTGTGCTACTGTATACTTTCCCATTTTGTACAGTTCTGATGGTTCCTCCATGCTTTTATTCCTTGTTTTCCTTTCAATTCTTGTTTCTTTCTATACATTCTTCTTATATGCAATCACAGACTTCTACAGATTTGGATACAGACTCCATGATTTCTTAACCTGGGTTTCTTCTTGGACCTCCTCCCACTCAAACCTAGAGATTTTTGGAAGAAATTAAAAGGGTTCATGAACCTGAATGAGAAAAAAAAATTACATCTTTATATTTTTACTAAATGCTAACTAAAATTTACCAGTTCCTTCAATTATGAATGTAGGCAATAAACCACAGCAAGAATAATACTTCTGATTTAATTACTAATAGAAGTCATAGGTAGTTTTGTTTTCTAATTATAAATATTGCAAAATTTTGTTTTTCCCATGATTACTTCAGAATCAGGGTAACTAGTTATACTAGACCTTTATGCAATAATACTAATATAGCATATCAAAAATGTATTTACTATTTTTTTAATCAATAGATGGGCACAATACCTTTATTTTATTTTTATGTGGTCCTGAGGATTAAACCCAGTGCCTCACACATTTCAGGCAAGTGTTCTACCACTGAGCCACAAACCCAGCCCCCTGAAAAATGTACTTACTCTTTTGATAACTGTTTTGCAATGTAATTAGTTTCCTTTGCAATCCTTTTTATTTTCTATGCAGTACTGGAAACAAAAATATTTTTGAGAAAGGGTCCATGGACTTCATTTCATTAGACTGCTAAAAGTCCCTAGTTTTCCACTGCACACACAAAAATGTAATGACACTTATTTCAAACAGTTTTGCCAGATAGTCTATCATGACTTGTACGTGGGACAAGTCCTAGCAACTTTTCTAAAGCCTAATGATCTAATCAGTTTTCTGAGCTCTGTCTTCAAGTTTTAGCTGCCTAGTCTATCTAAAGACTTTACTCATCTGATTGGTATCCAATCTGCTCCATGGTATGATACCTTGGTTTTGGTATTGAACTTGTAGCTTATATCCCTGGTTTCTTTCAACCCTCAATCACTCTTCTACTTTGTTTACTAACTCCAGGTCCCACCTCTGTACTTGCCTGATTCCTGAACTGCTAATACACTTCACTGTGCATAGAACTGTTGAGGTTAACTGTTTAAATAAGGATGGGAAAAAGCATTTATTACCAGAGTAATATTCTTCAACTGCAGATCCTTGGAATGCTTACAAATTAAATGCAAAATTCTCAGGGCACTTTTCTTTGTATTTTTGTTGGGTGGTGGCTTTAATAAAACTAGAAACATACCATGGATACAAGGATATTACACTTCCCTCAATAGCAGGGTTATAGGAACAGGTTAAACCAGAAACAGGAATTGGCAAACTTTTTCTGTAAGAGACCAAATAGTAAAGGCTTCAAATTTTTCAGATCATATGGTCTCTGTTGCTCTGCTATAGATAATATGAAAAGGAATATGTTCCAATAGAATCTTTGTAATGTTTTGAACAACCAATAAAAAAAAAGAATCACTGTTGGGAAAAAACTTAAAATCAGAATGCTGCAGTGATGTAGCCACATCAATGTTTATAGCAGCTCAATTCACAATAGCTAAACTATTGAACCAACGTAGGTGCCCTTCAACAGATGAATGGATAAAGAAAATTACACACACACACACACACACACACACACAAATACAATGGAATATTACTCAGCCTTACAGAAGAATGAAATTGTGACATTTGCCGGTAAATGGATGGAACTGGAGAATATTATGCTAAGAAAAGTAAGCCAATCCCAAAGAACCAAAGGCCAAATGTTTTCTCTGATATAAAGATGCTAATTCACAATAGGGGGAGCGAGGAGAAAGGAGGTATTTTGGACTAGACAGAGGGGACTAAAGAGGGGGGAGGTGGTTTAAGGATAGAAATGATAGTAGAATGAGCTGGACATTATTACCCTATGTGCATGTATGATTTTATGACCCATGTAACTCTACAACTAGACAAATGAGAAGTTATACTCCATGTATGTATGATGTGTCAAAGTGCATTCTACGGTCATGTGTAACTAATTAGAACAAATAAAAAATTTATTAAAATAAAAAAAAAGAATTTTAATTACAAAACAAATAGTTGTCCAAATTCAACACGTAGGTTGTAGTTTAAGGATGCCCTAGATTAAAGCACTGTCAGGATTCTGAAATTTCTGTCACCCAACACATGGCTGCTTTATTGTACTCTTTTAAAAGACTAGTTTCTTTGCCTTCTCTGGTTCTCATGTTAGAACATGGTTTCTATTAATGGTTTGAATATTAAATGTCCTCCAAAGACTTATGCTTTAAAGGCTTGGTCATTATCCTGTGGCACTACTGGGACATGGTGAAACTTTTAGGAGATGGGGGTTTAATGGAAGTTAGGTTTGAGGTCACTAAGGACATGCCTTTGAAGGGGATATTGACCTGGGCTCCTTCTCTCTTTCTCTCTTTGCTTCCTGGATGCTATTTGGTGAGCACTTTCCTCTACTATATACTCATGCAGTCATGATTTACCTCACCACAGGTCCCAAAACAATGAAGCCAACTGGCCATGGTCCGAAATTTCTGAAACCATTAGCCAAAATAAACATTTCTTCTTTTAAGTTATTTATACCTGATATTTGTCAACAACAATGGAAAGCTGACTAGCACAGCTTTTGAAAGCTTTGAGCTTTTAGGTCATAAATTCAAGTTTTCTTACTTTTCCAGTCCCAGATCCAAATCCTTAGGATAGGGATGTGGCCTGACCTTGCTTGATTCAGGCACTTACTCTTAAACCAATCAGCTATGGCCAGAGGGCTGGCTCTTTTTGTATGAAAAGGTGTATGAACACTCTTTGGTGGTGGTGTTGTGTTGAGGTTCTACCTCTATCACTCTAGGATCAGAGCTGAGAAACAGATCCCAGAAAGTGAAAGGAGCTGGGTTGGTAAGCCAGTTAAGAATCCTTTGTTGTATCCATTCAAATCTACTTTTTGAACTTTTTCTCCTGCCAGCCTCCTCATGACTTTTCTGAAGCGATACCAGCTCTTTCCTGTTTTCCCTATACACTGTATACTACCTTGTATCTTTTATATCTGCAAGCTGACATTGTATTCATCTTTAAAGTCCCTTTTACAAAAGGTCAGGGACACAACATTCTATTAGTACAGTGTGCCTCCTTCTGTTGCTATTTTTGTACCCATCTTTTTGTTTCACAGAAAATAGGTGCTCTGCTGACCGAAGAAATGACTTAACTTTTTCCATTCTGGTACCTCTCATAGAATAGGCTCTGAGTTAAATTTATTGAGCTTATATCCTCACAACTAAACAATCCAAAATGAAGAAAATGTTGATTTTTGTAAAGACTTGCATTTACAAAGGAAATATGATATTAATTTTATGAGAATTATATTATATATTATAAACATATATGTCCACATTTAAAGTAGCAAAATTAAAATATATTTGCAAAATTAAATATATATACACACACACACACACACATACACAAGCTACAGCAAAATTTAAATTTTTTGAACTCTAAGAAGAAATGAAATTCCACCAGGATTGTATATTCTTTTACTATACTAATAAAAAAGGAATACCACAGGAATGGCTTACTTAAGATAAGCAATAGGAAAGGTTAGAAATTAATATCCAAAATTGCTCTAGAAAATACACCAGAATGATTTATACAAGCAATTTACCAAAGAACCAGAGATCTCATCTTCTAATTTCTTTTTTCTAGACCTATTAATTAACTTTGTTCCCAGAACTCTGCTAAAGTCCCCTGCTGAAACAAAGAAAGTAAATACAGTATTGCGGAAAAACGGATTCATTTCCACCAAACTGTGAGAAGCTTGGAGCTTTTCTCAAACAGAAAACATTTGCTAAAGAAGTATTCCTAAACTACTAACAACTACCTAAAAGCTTTCTATTTAATGGCAGCCTCCTGGGAGACTGCGCAGGAATGTGCAGCAGTTTTGAAAAAGGCACAGATTTGGCTCCACTCTAAATATTAGGTGCACAGAGAGGCAGAGTTATTGTGTAGAATAGGGGGTGGGGCGGGTGGGGTCCTGATTCCCAATGTTGATAGAAGGGTTCTAATTTCGCTTGGTATTTATTTTTTCTACTACAATTACAGTTTTGCTAAGAAAAATAAAATATCGGTTATACTCTCATCTGGGTTTCTAATTTTCAGCGTCTGCAGAAAAAAAGAAAACCTCTCATTTACCTAAAAGAATTGCCTTTCTACAATCTCCAGAGATGCTGGATAAACAGGCGAGCCCAGCCCCCACCCCCCAACACACACACACACACACACACACACACACACACACACACCACATCTTGAGAACCTAGCCCGCCCCAATCTGTCAACCTCAGGTCGCTGGGACTAGTCCTGTGGGTCTCCGTGGAGCGATCATGTTCGTAGGAGATCCTGGGTGGGGATGCTCTAAAACCATAAACCACAATACAGAACCTAAGCTCGGACTTTGAACCAAGCCATTTTGCCTAGTTTGCCTTTTCCTTCTATCACTGGGCTTCTTGCCACCCAAATCACTGTTTTCCCTGGGCTGCTGTGCCCACTCCAGCCACCTGCGCGCCTAGGGGATCCAGGCACGCGAGGAGGGGGCTAAAAGCTGCGGTCCACCGGGCACACTGGGGAGAGACGGAAACTACAACTCCCATCACGCCCCGCAGCCGCTCCCTCCTCCCTCCACCCCTCAGCCTGCGGCCGGGCGGCGCTGGGCTTTCATCTGCGGACCAGCGGGAGGAAGCCAAATCCCGGCGATCTTCCTCGACGGCAGCGCCTTTGCCTACCGTGGAGGCAGCTTAAGCCGGCTTTAGCCTCAGCGTCAGTTCAGCCCGGAGCCCTTTGGCGCACAGGGTCCGTCCCGCGCGCGGCGAGAGGATGGTCATCCGCGTGTTCATCGCTTCTTCCTCGGGCTTCGTGGCGGTGAGTGCGGCTGGGACGGCGGCGGGCTGGGGTAGCGGGGCGCTGGGCGGGGATCCCGTGGTAGGTGAGCTGCGCTCGCCCCGGCGCGTCCAGGCTCGACCGCCTGCGGAGCCGGCACCCGGCAGGTGATCCATCACACTTGGACAACAATGAAAAAGGCGGGGAAGTAAGGTGGGTGGGGGACCCGGGCTCACCCACAAGCCCACCCTGCGCTGCCTGGAGAAGAAGACGAGGCTGTGGGAAAATGGAGTCCGAGGGGAGCCCCCTGCTCCTGTAGTGAGACTCGGAATTTTGGGGAAGGGGGTGGTTCTAGAGCTTTGTGGGTCCCCCTTCCCTTAGTTTTGTCCTTCCGGATTTGGGACGTTCAGTCTGCGTTTATTTTGTACTGGAGCTTTTCTGGGCTACTTTGGTTTGCTAATCTGACTCCCAAGTGAGACAAGTTTAAATAGGAATTGCTCCCCACCCTCTTACCTGCAACCGAGAACCTTTCTTTACTTTTATATCTGAGCAAAGAGAACAGTAAACCAGGTTTGTCCTGTTGTGCTAGGATTGTTTGATCACTTTTTGCCCAGGGTGCAATAAATATTTTTACGGAAATGTGTGTGTGCGTGTGTTCTTTCCCCTCATAATGCTGTGGGAAGGTTCATCTTGGGGATCTATAAATTGTGGTCTGTAATTACTTTTAGATGCTGTTTGGTGAATGATGTGTTTCTTTAAGTAGTTGCCCCCCTCCGACATCACTTTTTTAATTTTAAGAAAAAGTTAATAACCAAAGATGTCAGACTTTAAGGAAAAATTCAGTAGTATAGTTGACAGCCCACTAAGACATATAGCACATGTGTTTTACATGTTTATTGAGATTTGGTTTCCCTAGCTAAGAGTTAAGCTATAGGTTCAAAAGAATACTGCAATACATAATCAGATGCATCAGGAAGTGCAATATTAATTGTTTAAAGTTTGCCTGCCTAGTAGCTCAATCCGAGTGTCTCAAAATTTGTTTAAGTGGGTGGAATAGAAGGTAGAATAAGATATCATTTGAATATCCTTATAAATTACTAAAATTTTTTATTTAAAAATAAATCTACATAGTATGAAGATCCCTATTTGAACTAGGAACAATATATGGGAAACCCCATTTTATCTTTCTGTGCAGGCATGTTCTGGTTCTCAAACTCCTGACAGTTTCTGGTGTTTTTAATTATTTGTGGTTGCTTAGTCATACCTGCCTTTTATAGATTTTCCCCATTGAAGCTGCACTTCATGTGTTTGAAAACCTGTACTTCTTACTAAAGATGCTTTTAGTTTCACCACAAACTTGCCTGCTTTGATAATTATTCCAATGGCACTTTATTGCTTGTGGATAGAATGCCTTATAGTATTGAGCCTAGCCTACCTCCAGTCAGCCTAAGTCGAAGTTCAGGTACTTACTTGGCTTATTCTGTCAATAGTTCTAGATCCCTGCTTCCATCTTTCTTCAATCCCATGAACAGATGCTAATGCCTGCTTGCTGTATGCTTTTTCATTTTTAAATTTAATGTTATGTGTTTGTATATGGAACCAAAATTAAGAAACTTAAGTTTTAGTGCATACATTGGCTAGTAATGTAAGTTTGGATTAGATACTCCTTCTTTGCCTGAGTTTTTCTTCTGTAAAAAGAAGAATTTTGATGAATAACTCAGGGTTGTACTCTAGGTTTCAAATGCTTTGACTTCTTCAGTTGAGAAAATGTGACAGACGCTTTATAAGAGCTTCTTTTACTTGAACAATATACCTATTAGCTGCAAAGTGAGTTTATTCTTTTTCTTAGGTGTTTCACTGTTGTCGTCTCCGGTCCCATCCCTGTACTGCCTGGTAGCATGTGTTCTGGAATGGTTGCATTGGATCTGAAGGTTACCACATAGCCCACCAACACTAATTATTCATTTTAATGGTCTACTGTGTGAAGACCCAAGTTTTTCATGATTTAGACTATCCTTATTCGTTGAGTCTCCCCAATTATAATACTGTCTCCCATATCAGTACATAGTTTTTCTGTAATACAGATACTTTTGGTGATGTAAAGTTTATGCTCATATACAAAAATAATGATTTCTTAGAAATAATGAAGATGTTTAGGTCAGCTCCTGGGCTGGAGAGGCTAAGCTTTCCTGGGAAAGCTTTTTTCATTCTAGCAGTGTTGGGCTTGCTGTTAGGGTTTTATTCAGTACTCGAGTGTGACCAGCAAGTGCATGAGAGAACAAATAATTTGATTCCCAAGTCAGTTTGGTTTTAGTTGAAGTTTATTAAACTATAAGGAAGGAATGTGACTAGAATTAGACTTAGCTAAGTCCCAGGGATTTCCAAAAAGATACTTTGCTGCAGTTAGCAATATGCTTAAATAAACTATTTAGAGAAAATCTTCTTTACTTGTTCTGATTCCTCTGAGCTCAGAAACTTCAACAGTTGGAATAACTCCTATAATATAGGAGGAGGGTTTGCCCTGTCATCTTCCCTGGCTCAAGGTCAAGTCTGCTTTTACTAGGAATTGAAAGTAATGCGAAATTATTATGTCATGGATACCCCCAAATCAGAAATCTCTTGTTATACAACTGATAATGTTGCTGTCATTCATTGTTATAATGAAGGGATATTTTTTTTCCATTCTAAGAAAATAGTATAATCATAGAATTGTCATTTTAAAATTTAATTTATTCTAAATATATACCCCAAAGGGGAAGCATTGGTAGCTTTATCCAGGAAATACATTAATGTGGCTTTTTCACTTAAAAACATTAAAATCAGTCAATTAGTTCATGCATGTATTTATTCAACTGTATTTTTTAAACATTTGTAGCCTGCGCAGTTCTGTCCTTGGTCTTTGGGGGAACCAGAGAATAGAGGGTGTGGTTTCTGTCCTGAAGGAATTCACAGACCAGGGGGGGGAAAATGAGATGGGAAAGGTGAAACCAGCAGTAATAAAGTACAGTCCCCAAACAGGTGCCTCCTTCAGGAACATTCTTACCAGAGATAAAATCATATAGAGTGCTGCATTGCAGGCTGTCAGATAAGGAGGAAATATGCCTGAAATTGTAAAATATGCATGTGGGAGCCTTATGCAGATGGCAGGAAGAGGAACTGAGTTAGATTTGGAGCCTTGGAAACAGTTCATGTGCCCATCTTGCTTAGGCTAGAAAGGGAGAAGCTTTGGGGGGAGGGGTGGATGGGCAGCAGAAGTCCCTGTTGTCCACTTTTGAGGACAAGATAGATTCAACTTCCTGAGAGAAGCCCATGATAACAAATTCCACAGTGCTCAGCATCTCAGAGATGTTTAAAGTATCTGTTCTTATCTGTGTCCTGGAGCCTTTTGTCCCTCAGGAAACAAGGTGCTCTCTGGCAGGGAGTAACCATACCACCCACCCCATGTGATTTCAGAAGTCTTTACCTTCCTGCCTGCTTTGACTAACATTTCAGAGATTTAGCATGCAAAATACTTAATCAAGAGGGATGAAGGACTGATTCTGGCTTGAGAGATATTTTGATGGGGGAGGGTGAAATGAGCTAGACAGCAGTATATCCCTGGGTCTTATAGAGCAAAAGAGACAAAGAAATTGGAAGCAAAATTGAAAAATATGGAGCTTTGTCGAGGGATGTCCAGGTCTGTGACACTATTTTCAAGTGAAGGTGGGTACAATGGGGGAACACACCGAAACTATGCTTATAGTTGTCTTGCTTTTTTAACTGTACAATGTATACCCACTACTTTGCATGATTGATTATTATTTTAAACATGTAATTATCATGTACCAGTCAAGCTGTTGCATCCCTATGGAGTGTATTCAGTGAAGCTGCATTGTGTAAGGAAGCCTTAGAAAAGAGTTCTGAAGCAGTTGAAGTCAGAATATGATCGTGTAGAATAGACAAGTGTTATTTTCTAAGTTATTCTAATGCTTTAATGAACCAGTGAGAATATGTCTAGGTTCTTTTAGATCTTTAATTTGTTGGATTAATGTCATGTCACTGTCATATGACAAGGTAGTTATTTGTTGAGGTTTTACAGATGAAGAGGGCAGGGCCCCTGAGTCAAATCCTGGCAGGCAACTGACTCCAAAGCTTCTGGAGTAGTAGTGGTCTACTGGTCTTTGTCCCATCCTGGGGGAATGAGAGCATCAGGAATGCCTGATAGCCTGCAAAGTGTAGGACAGTCCTACACAGAGAACTACCTCACCTAAAGTGCCAGTGGTACCTCCTGACCAGAAATAGTGCTGAAGGGCATCAGGAGAGAAGAGTGGAGTGAGATTAAAATGAGATTTATTCAAGTAGTGATCAGGAGAGGCAGGGACAAGTTAGGGGCCAAAGGCAAGGATATGGTTGTAATAGAAGGTCAGGCTAAGAAGGGTTGTTTTTGTTTCCTAGGGCCACCATCAACAAAGCACCCAAAACTAAGGTGCTTAAAAAACAGAAATATGTCTCACCATTTTCAAAGATAGAAGTCCAAGATAAAGGAGTTGGCAAAGTTGCTTCCTTCTGGGTGCTGGGAGGCAGAATCTGTTCCATGTTTGTCTCGTAGCTTCTGGTGATTGGCTGGCAATCTTTAGCATCCTTGACTTGTAGATGTATCACCCTGATATCTGCTTTTATGTTAATGGATTTTCCTGTGTGCATGTCTGTGTCTGTCCCTGTGTCCAAGTTTCCCCTCTTATGAGCACACAGTCATACTGAAGTAGACCCTACCCTAATGATCTCTTCTTAATCTACAAAGATCCATATAAGGTCACATTTACAGGTTTTTGGAGTTAGTACTTTAACATCTTTTGGGGGAATTTATTAAACACACAGTAGCGTGCAATATGAAGGTTGAAGTAAAAAGACTGATGGAATTTCCCCCTGGAAAGACTAAAAGACTATAGGCAAATTTCTTTTCTTTTTTTTTTTTTTCATTGTTGTTTGTTTGTAATGTTTTGTGTGTGGAGGCAGGGATTGAACCCAGGGCCTCCGACATTCTAGGCAAGTGTTCTACCACT